CTCATAGAGACCTTATTGGAACTGCCCCAGAGGGTTTCCAAAGCTGTCAATCTTTAAGGAAACAGACTACTTCATGTTTCTCTTGCAGAGCAGCCGGTGGGTTCCATCCGAGGACCTTTTGTTAGCAGCTGAATGCTTTAACCACTGTGCCACCAGCACTCCTGACTTGTCTCAAAAGGTAAATAAATAGATAAACAAAATATCTGTTACAAAAAACTGATTGAGTCAATTAGGTATTTTTGCTATGGTCACAACATCAGTCATTTCCGAGGAACTGTTCACCATGTAACTCGACCATAAAGAGAAATGGATTCTTGATGCAGGACACAACATGGATGAACCCTGAAAACATGATGACTGAGGTGAGCCAATCACAAAAGGGCATGTATTGTATGATCTCACTGACATGACGAACCTAAAACAGGCAAATGCAGAGGCAGAGTTGAACAGTGGGAACCAGGGCAGGAGGGAGGAAGCAAGTGGGCAACCACCGCTTAGGAGGCATCGAGTTTCTGCTCCTGGGATGGAAAATCTGGCAACAGGTGTTGGTGATGGTCGCACAGCGTGGTTGATGTGATTATCTTGCCAAATTGTCCATGTGCAAACTGTTGGACTGGCAAATGTTGTGTTATGTATACTTTCACAACAGTAAGAGCCTCAACGAGATGGGGTGGCATAGTGGTGGCGGCAACGGGCTCAGGCACAGGAAGGGTTGTGAGGAAGACGCAGGGCCGGGCAGGGTTTCGTTCTGTTGCACACGGGTCGCTATGAGTAGGAACCACCTCAATGGCACCTGACAACAACTAGAAACGAAACAGCTGAAGCTGAAGCCGCGCCCAGGGGTCACCTTTTAGCAAACACCAGACAGGCCTGGAAAGTGAACAATAAACCAGGCAGGAATGTGCTTCTCAGTGCAATCAACCCTAGGAGACCAAAAGGGCAGCATTTGCCCCAAAGCAAAGCTCTGAAGGCAGGAAGGGGCTGGAAAGAAGGAACCAAAGGTAAGGGAAACCCAGAGAGGAAGTGGGGAGAGTGCTGTTACACTGTGGGGATTGCAGGCAAAGTCATGAAATGAAATATGTATAAATTGTTCGATGAGAGACCAATGTGCTCTGTAAACTTTCATCCAAGACACAATTAAAAAAAAAAAAAATTAAGAAACCAGAATAGTTTTAAAAAGCAGAGAGCAAGAGCTTAAAGAAAAGAGCCTGGGCTCTTCACTGCTTCAACAGGAAAAAACACTCACTCTTTTCCCTTGGTCAGAATGCATCCCCTGGACCCACCCCTGCCAGATGTGTGGGAGTCAGTAGGACGTCTGAAGAGTCTCACCACGTGTTCGCAGCAAAGAAACGGAGACTCAGAAAGAGTCAAATATCACGCCTCCTTCCTAGCCTCATCATGCCTCTCCTCCTTGGGGTGACGTAAGAGATAATAGTGTCCGTAAGCGCAGGGACTGGGAGGAGAGAGAGATCCTGTGAGGGATAATTGGACAGTTATATTGGTCCCATAAGGGAGCTCTGGTAGCATGGTGGCTAAGGCACTTGACTGCTGACCAGAAGGCTGGCGGTTCAAACCCACCAGCCACTCCTCGGAAGGAAGATGGGGCAATCTACTTCAGTAGTGATACTGCCTTGGAAACCCAAGGAGGGGTCGCTATGAGTCAGGGCCGACTCAACAGCACGTAACAGCAACAACAACATTGGTCCCATAAGGAGCTCTGGTGATGCAGTGCCTAAGGCATTTGACCGCTAACAAGAAGGCTGGTGCTTCAAACTCATTAGCCACTCCATACAAGGAAGACTGGGTAATCTGCTTCTGTAAAGATTTACTGCCTTAGAAACCCAGAGGGGACCACTGTGAGTCGGAATCGACTCAATGGGCCACTGTGAGTCGGAACCGACTCGATGGCAGTGAGTTTGGTTTTGGCTATTGGTCCTATGTTGTTGTTGTTATGTGCCGTCGAGTCGGCCCCGACTCATAGCGATGCCTCCTTGGGTTTCCGAGGCAGTATCACTACGGAAGTAGGATTTCCCAACCTTCCTTCCGAGGAGTGGCTGGTGGGTTTGAACCGCCAGCCTTCTAGTTAGCAGTCAAGTGCTTTAGCCACTATGCTACCAGAGCTCCTATTGGTCTTATAGTATATTGCAATTAAGATATATTACTTATTTGTACCTCTCCGGGTCCCAGACTTGAACATCAGCGTATTGACAGAGAACTTCCAGAAATGCAAGCTGGATTCAGAAGAGGTCATGGAACAAGGGATATCATTGCTGAAGTCAGATGGATCTTAGCTGAAAGCAAAGAATACCAGAAGGATGTTTACTTATGTTTTATTGACTATGTAAAAGCATTCGATTGTGTGGATCATAACAAATTGTGGATAACATTGAGAAGAATGGGAATTCCAGAACACTTGATTGAACTCATGAGGAACCTGTACACAGATCAGGAGGCTGTTGTTCAAACAGAACAAGGGGATATTGCATGGTTTAAAATCAGGAAGGGAGTATGTCAAGGTTGTATACTTTCACCATACGTATTCCATTTGTATGCTGTGCAAATAATCCAAGAAGCTGGATTATATGAAGAAGAACGTGGCATCAGGATTGGAGCAAGACGCATTAACAGCCTGTGATACTCAGATGATACAACTTTGCTTGCTGAAAGTGAGGATGATTTGAAACACTTACTGATGAAGATTAAAGACTACAGTCTGCAGTATGGACTACAGCTCAATATTAAGAAAACAAAAATCTTCACAACTGGTCCAATCAACAGCTTCACAATAAATGGAGAAAAGATTGAAGTTGTCAAGGACTTCATATCATTTGGTTCTACAATCAACACCAATGGAAGCAGCAGTCAAGACATCAGATGACGTATTGCATTGGGAAAATCTGCTGCAGAAGACCTCTTTCAAGTGCTGAAGGGCAAAGATGTCTCCTTGAAGACTAAGGTGCACCAAATGCAAGCCATGGTATTTTCAGTCGCCTCTTATGCATGTGAGAGCTGGGTAATGAATAAGGAATGCAAAAATAGAGTTGATGCATTTGAGTCGTGGTGTTGGAGAAGACTGCTAAGAGTACCATGGACTGCTAAAAGGACTAACAGATCTGTCCTGGAAGAAGTGCAGCTGGAATGCTCCTTGGAAGAGAGAATGACCAGACTTCGTCTCACTTACTTTGGTCATGCTGTCAGGAGGAACCATTCCCTGGAGAAGGATGTCATGCTTGGTAAAGTGGAGGGTCAACAAAAAAAGGGAAGGCCTTCAACAAGATGGATAGACACAGTGGCTGCAATGACGGGCTCCTGTACAGCAAGGACCATGAGGCTGGCACAGGACCTGGCAGTGTTTTGTTCTGCTGTAAATAGGGTTGCTATGAGTTGGAGACTACTCAATGGCACCCAACAACAACAACTTATTTGGAGTTTACTGGATTCCAAGCACTGGGGCACATATTGTATATTATATATTTGAATGCTTACAACAACCCTATGAAACTAAGGGATTTGTCCAAAGATGAACTGATCATAAATGGTGAAGCTGGGATTTGAACCTAGTCAATGTGATTCCAAAGCCTATGCATCAAGCCATGTGCAATGCTGCTGTAATCATGTTGTGCAGCATAAAGAAAGTGATGCACAGGGAGTTGACCTTAACGCTGCGGACGGAGTAAAGCTTTTTGGGAAGTGGATACTTGGTGTGTCCAAACCAGAGGAGACTGGACTTTGCTGAACAGCTTGCGCCCTCTGCCCAGTGGCTCTTCACTATAATGGAAGTCCTTTGAAGAGCTTTCAGCTACAAGAAGTCATTTGAATCCTTGTCTCATGGCCCCTCCCTTTCTCCATTTGCAAAGCCAGCAACGTAGCATCTCTCTGACCCTACTTCCGTCATCACATCTCTCTCTCTCACTCTCTTTTTCTGCCTCCCTCTCCCACTTTTGACACACACACTGCCATCGAGTTGATTCCAACTCACAGAGAGCCAATAAGATAGAGTAAAATTGTCCCATAAGGTTTCCAAGGCTGTAAGTCTTTATGGAAGCAGATGGCTTCATCTTTCCCCTATGGAGCAGTTGGTGGGTTTGAACCACTGACCTTTTGGTTAGCAGCCAAATCCTTTTACCACTCACCACCAGATCTCCTGTACACTTTAAGGGTCTTTGTAATTAGGCTCCAGATGGGACAAAAGTTTAAATGCTTGACTCCTAATCTAAAGGTTGGTAGTTTGAACCCACTCAAAGACACCTTGGAAGAAAACCTTGCCAATCTGCTTCCCAAAGGTCACAGACTTGAAATGACTATGCAGAGTGGTTCTCCTGTGCACTCGAGGGGTCACCACAAGTTACACTCAACTATACAGCAGCTGGTGTGGTTTGGGATCGGTGATTCCATTAGGCTTATCTGGATTTTAAAAAAAAATTCTCACTGCCATCGAGTAGATCCCGACTCATAGCGACCCCCTTTGGACTTCCAAGGTGGTAAATCTTTACGGAAGTAGATTGCCCAACCTTCCTCCCGAGGAGTGGCTGGTGGGTTTGAACCACCAGCCTTCTGGTTAGCAGTCAAATGTCTTAGGCACTATGCCACCAGAGCTCGTTATCTGGGTAGCTCGGGCTTATCTCCTTATTTGCTGATTATCGTTGTTGTATGACATCAGGTCAATTCCAACTCATAGCAACCTGATATGACAACATAGACCTGCCCCCATTGGCCTTAGGCCAGAATCTTCCATGGAGCCATTGCTGGTTTGAACCCCTAACCCTTCAGTTAGTAGCCCAGGTACTAACTAAACTTTCTGATTAACAACCTCAATTCCATCTGCAGCCTTTATTAGCTCCCTTTTGCCACATAACATAACACAGTCACAGGCTCCAGGGGTCAGGACGCGAGCATCTGAATCATCCCATCTCAACGTTCCAGAGCGAGCAAGGGGCAGCGGGAGTGACACGAGCTTTGTGGGAAGACCATGTCTACAACCACAACCGCGACCCCAAGTCTCACGACAAGCCCACACTCAGAGCTGCCGAGCTCTCGCACCTCTCGCCCATTCCTGTGTTGCTTTTCTGCCCCTTGATAAGTTCTTGGGACACCTCGAGCATCCCTGTATCAAAGCCCCCGGACTCTTCAAAGCCCAGCATGACTTTGATCTCTGCCACAGAGGATTTCCTGGATAAACTCAGGGAGAGGTCAGAGCCTGTGGTCAAACTCCAGCTGCATTCCCCGCTCCAAGTGTTTATTCAGGCTGGGCCTTAAGGCATCTGGGATAAAGAAGCAATCCCAGCCTATCTCATTACCTGCCAGCTAGCCACCTGGCTCTAAACCTTCAAAAGACCTCTTGCCAGTAACCTCTTAGCCCCATATCTTCCCTTTACCACGTGGAAGGGCTCTGGTTCCTTTAGCCATTCTGGGTGGGACAGGGCTGGCAGCCCCTTCCTCTCTGGGCACACTCTGCCACACACACTGCAGTGCACGTCTGGGCCCCTTAAGGAGAAGCAATTCATTAGGTATCCTCTATGCATACCTCCATCGAGATACCACATTTCTATATACTTATATGGACTCAAACTGGCTTTTTAAACCATAGCATCAAAACCAAGCCTGTCACTATCAAGTCACTTGCAATTCATAGCAAACCTGTAGGACAGAGTAGAAGTGCCTCATCGGGTTTCCAAGGCTGCAGTCCTTCACCGAATTACAGTTCTCTTTCTTAGTCTTGTCAAGGACCCCTGGTGGTGCAGTGGTTAAACACTTGGCTACTAATTGACTAATCAGCAGTTACTGACTATTTACTATTTATCAGCAGGAGAGAGATGGGGCAGTCTGCTTCCCAGGGCCAGATTAAGACATGTGAGGGCCTTAAACACTGGTGATCTGTGGTGCCCCTCTTTTATTCACTCTGCATTCAAACAGGGTATGTGTGTTCTAGATAAACATGTGCATACAGGGATGTGTCACTTAACATCTGTTTGGATAATGTCTGACCATATAGACATCCATGGTCCCAGGAGGCTTTTTTTTTTTTTTTTAAGATGGGGCAGGGAAACATTCCTCTTTTATTTATTTCCCACTGTGGTAGTTAAGGTTATGTATCAACTTGGCTGGGCCTGACTGAGTGGCTGGGCAGTTGGATGTAGTTATTCCCCATGGTGAGATTGGTAATTAAGTCCATGGTGGAATCTACTGGAGCAGCTGAGTAGCTGCCTTAGGGATGGGGTCCGCTTCCCGTAAATAAGAAGCATTGAAGAAGGTCTCCAGCTTATAACATGCTTGAATCCTACATGTAGCCGAGTCTTCATTCAGCAGCCTGCCGTGCCCTGCTGATCTTGGGACTTCTGGACTTGAATTAGTGGCCTCCCATGTTGTTTGGTAACACTGAGACTGTGCCTTTTGACTTGTTGACCCTGGGTTTGTCGGCCTCGGCAGCCAACGGCTGCCTGAGTAGAAAAAAAAGCCTCCAGCTCCAGTGGGCCAGAGCAGGAGGCAGAGCTGAAGTCCAAGGTCGAGGGGCTCTCCCCCAGCCTCTGGAGCCTGGCACTTTGAACTCGGACTTAAAGCCTCCTGAACTGTAAGAGAATAAACTCCTGTTCGTTCAAGCCATCCAATTTGTGGGGTACTCTTGTCAGAGCAGCACTGGGTAACTAGAACATGTCCTAACTGTTTTAAAGACCTCAAACCCAGATTTTGCAGCCCTGGACCATGGGTGGGAAACAGACGGAAGAGACATGGCTCTGAACACATGCTCTTAGGCTCAGTCGGGCGGGTTGGTGCCAGGGGCTGTGGGGTCCAGGCTGCTCCTGCTGCTCAGGTGAACATCAAGGTGGCTTGGGGTGTGCGCCTCTTTCTCCCCACTCACTTCCTATCACTCTGCACCTGTGACCACTGCCGCCACCTGTTCTTTTAGCCCCCACAAGCAGATCCAGCAACAGCGGTCATGGTACCAGCAGCAGTAACGGTGATGAGGAAGACCAGAGGCAGGCTCCCACAACATGGTTTTAATGTGGTGTTCACACAACATCCAAATCACGTAATATCCTATTGCACAGAACTTACAGTGAACATTAAGTGATGCATATCTGTATGTGTGTGTGTGTGTGTGTGTTGCTTATCCATGATGTAGCTTCTTTTTAAATGTGAACATAATATTATAGTCAGAATAATAATGTTACAATAAAATTATGATGGAATGGTAATTTAGATGTTTCAATAAACTGATGCAACACTGGAAGCACTCACTCGTCTATACCCAGAAACATGGAAGACAGTGACCTGGACAACTGACCGGGAGAGATCTGTGTTTGTGCCCATTCCAAGGAAAGGAGATTCAACAGAATACAGAAATTATCTAACAACATCACTAACATTGCATGCAAGTAATATTTTGCTGAAAAGAATTTAAAAATGGTCGCAGCCATTCGTTGACTGGAAACTGCCAGAAATTCAATCTGGATTCAGAAGAGCAGGTGGAACAATGGATATCATTGCTGATGTCAGATAGATTTTGGCTGAAAGCAGAGAACATCAGAAAGATGTTTACCTGTGTTCTGTTGACTATGCAATGTCATTTGACTGTGTGTTGTTGTTGCTGGTGCCAGTGAGTCTGTCCTGGCTTTACAGGGACCTTGTTTACAGCAGAACAAAACACTGCCCATTCCTGTGCCAGCCTCACCATCATTGCTCTGCTCGAGCCCATCATAGCAACCCCTGTGTCAATTCATCTCATGGAGGGTCTTCCTCTTTTTTGCTGACCCCCTACTTTACCAAGTATGGTATCTGGTATCTTTCTCCAGGGATCAGTACCTTCTGATAACCTGCCAAATGTACAAGAGACAAAGTCTGGCCATTGTTGCTTCTAAAGAATATTCCAATTGTACTTCTCCCAAGAGAGATTTGTTCGTTCTTGTGGTGGTCCATGGTACATTCAACATTCTTCATCAACACCACGATTCAAATGCATCAACTGTGTGGATCATAACAACTTATGGATATGCTGCAAAGAGTAGGGATTCCAGAACATTTAACTCTACATGCAAAACCTGTACATAGACCAAGAAGCAGTCATTCAAACAGAACTAGGGAAAACTGCATAGTTTAAAATCAGGAAGGTGTGCATCAGGATTGAATCCTTTCACTATATTTATTCAATCTGTACATTGAGAAAATAATCCAAGAAGCTGGACTATATGAAGAAGAACACGGCATCAGATTGGAGGAAGACTCATTAACAACCTGCAATATGCGGACGACACAACTTTCCTTGCTGAATTTGAGGATGACTTGAAGGATTTACTGATAAAAATCAAAGACTACAATCTTCAGTATGGATTACATCCAACATAAATAAAGACAAAATCCTCACAACTGGACTAATAAGCAACATTATGATAAATGGAGAAAAGACTGAAGTTGTCAGCGATTTCATTTTCCTTAGATCCACAATCAACATCTATGGAAGCAAACACCAAAAAAACCAAACCCAGCAGTCATGGAATCAGACGTTATATTGCACTGGGCAAAGCTGCTACAAAAGATCTCTTTAAAATGTTAAAGATAAAAGATGTCACCTTGAAGACTAAGATGTGCCTAACCCAAGACATGGTATTTTCAATCACTTCATATGTATGTGAAAGCTGGACAATGAATAAGGAAGACCAAAGAAAGCGTGATGCCTTTGAATTGTGCTGGCAAAGAATACTGAAAGTACCATAGTCTGCCATTGAATTGATGTTGATTGAAGAGGAACAACTCAGAGAAGGAGGGTGAGGACCATTGCACAACATGAAGAATGGGAGCAATGTCATTGAGTTACACATGAGAAACTGTTGAAGTGATGTGTGTTCTGCTGTATATTCTCAACAACAACAAAATCAAATTTAAAAAAATTATTTAAAGAAAAAGAAAGAATGAAAGGACCATGGACCACCAGAAGAACGACCAAATCTGTCCTGGAGGAAGTGCAGCCGAAATGCGCCTTGGAAGCGAGGATGGTCAGACTTCATCTCACCTGCTTTCATCATGTTGTCAGAGGGGACCAGTCCCTGGAGAAGGATGTCACCCTTAGTAAAGTGGAGGGTCTGCAAAAAAGGGAAGGCCCTCAACGAGATGGACTGACACAGTGGCTGTGACGATGGGTTCAGGTTTGGCAGGGATTGTGAGGCTGGCACAGACCGGGCAGTGCTTCATTCTGTTGTTCATGGGGTTGCTGAGGGTCAGAGCTGACTCAACGGCACCTAACAACAACAACAAGAGTTGATTCATTTGAATTATGTAGTTGGCGAAGAATATTGACTATAGCATGGACTGCCGGAACAAACAAGCCTGTCTTGGAAGAAGAACTGCCAGAAAGCTCTGTAGATAGCCTCTACAAGGCCCTGACATACTGTCATTATTGTCCCAGGATGGACCTCTGGACTGAGAAAAATCAATATGCAAATTTCACATAAATATCAAAGCACTTGATTCACAATTTCTTCATCAGTATGACTTTTTAAGCTAGTAAATGTTGGCTGATGATCCAGAAATCTTCAATACAAATTTTCAAGTTGTTGACTGTGATGTTGACAATCACTTGGCCATCTTTCAAGCCAATAATTTACATCATCCAAAGCAAAATTATTCCACAAAGCAGGATCTGTATTTCTGTTATTTATGGGGTCTGCAAATGTGGCAATTGCAGCTTCAAAAATAGTTTCACATTCTACACTATTATTAATTTTTTTACTACAGAAAGGAATGGATGTAAGATTTGGAACAAGCTCTGTTATATTCGTTATTACTATTAGTAATTCCACCACTAGAAGTACGAGGACAATGATTTACACCAATTGAACATTTAACGGAAGATGTCTCTTCATCTAAAGTGCAATTAATTTTGCAATTGTATTTAGGGATTCACAAATCCTTTTCTTTCTCTCCTCTGTGAGCTTTTGCTTTTATGTATGCTCCATTTTGTTGTCATTTCATGTTACCTGGGTATATAATTGTGTCACCTTTTAAATTTGGTTCTATTGTGGCAAATATATCTGAAAAATTGAATGTAAGTAAAGTTTATCAAATAAAATTTATATTCAACTGTAGACTTAACACAAATTTTATATTTGAAAATCAGTAAGTGAAAATACTTGGTTTGGAACATGTAATTCTATTCCTCAG